TTACATCAAGCGCTATCAGAAGTAGCAAACCTGGACTACGAGCCAATATTTCGGGAAGTCTACACGGATAATCGAGATCCCCACCGCGTCCAGGGTGATAACGACCCACTCACTCCGACCATTCAAGAAATGCATACAATGATAGCAGACATGCTCCTTTCATTGAACGAGGATTATTTTTTGGATCCTAGAGGATGGCATGCTTTGATTTCGTTTCCTGGAGGGCAAGACCAGGCCGTCCACCGCGATTTCCCGTCGTTTGAGACTTCGCGAGCTAGGTTGACGCAAGGTATTGTACAAGCTTCTGTTATTGTCGCGTTAATGGATGATACTTCTCTACACGTTTACCCTGGATACTTTGGTGCCGAAGCAGAGGCAGACGCACGGCGAACCTTTCGCTTCCATCGCGGTGAGGTTGTTATGTTTTGTGGGAACTTGGCGCACGCTGGAGCATGGTTTAGACACCGCAACGTCCGCCTACATTGTTTCATCAAGGTACGAGGAATTGAGCAAGACGAAAACGTAACGGACGCGTTGTCCTTTCTAACGTTACTGTGTGATCGTTGTCGATCTCTACACTACTCAGAGAGCCAGCTTAGTTCTCACAGGCGTTCGTGTACAACCGGTGGGTTCGAGTGTCCATACTGTGAAAAATGCTATGCTATTCGGAACTCTCTAAGCCAGCACATTAGGCGACCCCCATCGGTCTCCACTTTCCATTGAAGAAAGCGAGAGTAGCGGAAGCCGCGAGAATGATGATGAGCAAACTAGCGTCGAAGAGATAGAGAGCGACAACAGCTATGACTAGTTTAGACTGCTAAAATCTAAATAAATGTTTGAAGACAACTAATCAGATTAACAGTGACAACGTCAAATAGAGTGACAACTTTAAACACCGTGACACCCACAGGCACGGTGACAACTGGAGACACAGTGACAACCAGAGACACAATACCACTTGGAGAGAGAAGACACGATGAAAACAGTTTGAGACACAATGTAGGTAGCCGAAGCAGATGTAGCAGGACTATGTCAGCTTTCATTAGGTAGCGGGACACAAAATGGGACGCCGATAATGGCCCCCCTTAAGACATTTCGCGCATTGGGAGTAGCGCCCCGGATTGTTGGCGCACTACGTCCGTCTGGAAACTTCTTGTACTTGCCTTCTTGCGTATCAGACGGTTATACAGCTTTTCCGATCCATCATCAACTCCCGGGCGATGCATTTTGTTGGCTTTGCGGCCAACAAGAATATGGCAGCAGCTCTTAAGCTTGGCGTAGTGTTTGCACCCCCAAATGCACCTGTCCACATCAACGATCCACCCACCTTCAGGCATCGATACAGTATGCGCATACCAAAGCGACCAGGACACTACGTTTTGTAGTGCTGGGCAGCGCGTGCACGCTGCTCGCGTACTAAAAGTGCTGGAGCCAGCAGGAGATTGGCATGATCGAAAATATGCTCGACCTCAGAGGATGCTCGGAACGGGCTGTCGAGAG